ATCATTTTTCACTTAAATTGACGCATTTTGTGCTTAATTGACCCGAAATTTCGTCAAACATATCATGGACGTTATTTTTACCAGATTTCATGAAACTTGAACCAAAATATATAAAACATGTCTTGTTTTTCTATTTTCCAATCCAAAATCGCTTAAAATTGATAAGAAAAATAAGTACAAAAATGGACTTATCATGCAACATAAGAATCACCAACATTTTCAGGCCATTCTAAAGAGTTTATCTCTATAGTGATGATAACGGGCGTCTTCACGACCCCGGGGGGCTACGTTATCTTCTTTACATTCTGTTTGTTTTTCCTGTTTTATTTCCGCAGAATAAAAGAATAAAGGCATGACGCCCCTAGTCATCGGATCGTCATGAGGGGGAGAGTGGTCCACATGCTGTTAACTGTCAAAAAATCATTTTGGGACACTTCTCTCCTCCAACACTCTCTCTACTATCTCCGCAACTCAAATGGTCAGCTACGCTCACAAGTCAACCATCATTATGTTCCGTTGTGCCACCGACAAGTTCTCCTCAAAAGCATTCATTCCAAATAGTCAAAAAGACTACATTGTGGAGAAGACAGAGGTCAAATACTCAATCTGTTGAAGATGAATTCCATGGGCGTCTCCTATTCTCCAAAGAACATTCATTCTAGAGGCGTCACCGGACTTCATCCAAGCTGATCAAGAGCAACTTCTGGAAGGCAAGGATTACAAGCAAAAGATTCCTCAATCCCGGCATCAAAGATCAAATTGTCAAGAAGACATCAAAGGGGATATTGCAAGGATTTCTTCAGATAGCCTTCCTCAGAAGTCAAGTTCAAAGACAAAGGAAGCTGAATAAACACAAAGACAAAGATATCCGCGCTGCAATGCTGATTGAACATGATTGAACACCAAGGGGGGGGATTGTTAGGAATATTTTATGGTGTCCAATCTAATTAAATATCTTTGTATTTGTGTAGTTATTAATTAAACGTGTAATACGGGCCACAAATGTGTATCAGCCCGGGGGCTTCCTTGTAACCCGTAAGTTAGCTAACTTCTCCTATAAAAGGAGGCTAACTTACGGGAACCCTAACAATCGAAATAGAGGCTTAGAGAGCATAGTGGCGTAGAGATATAGAGATTAGAGTTGCCGCTGCTCTCCTTCTCCAAGGAGAGCAGCGGCCAGTTTCGGGGCGCTTGGTTTCTATATGCTTCGGTTTTATGATTCGGTTTTAATCTTGTCGATATCTTTCTATATGCTTCTTTATCACTGCTATGGTTGTATGATTGTTTAAATATCTGGGTTTAACAGATGTACAGAGACTTACGGGGCGCTTGGTGGCACTGAGCCGGTTTATGTCAAAACTGACCGATCGGGCGATCCCTTTCTTCCAGATCATGAAGAAAGCCAACCCATTTGAGTGGACCCCGGAATGTCAAGCAGCCTTTGAAGACTTCAAGACGTACCTCTCCTCGCCACTTGTCCTAACCAAAGCAGATCCCGAGGAACCGCTATACATGTATCTAGCAGTGGTTGACCTGACGGTAAGCTCCGTCTTGCTGAAGGAGGTTGAGGGTGTTCAGCGGCCTATATACTTTGTCAGCAAGGCGCTGAACGGCCCGGAGACAAGGTACACACTCATGGAGAAGATGATCATGGCATTGATCGCGGCAATAAATCGCTTGGCGCCATACTTCCAGGCACACCCGGTGACGGTGTTCACCACTCAGCCCTTGGCCACTATCCTCAGGAATCCAATGGCGAGTGGGCGGATTACGAAGTGGTCCTTGATGATCGGGCAGTACAACGTGGAATTCAAACCAAGGCCGACGATTAAGGGACAGGCACTGGCAGATTTCATTGCCGAATGCACAGCACGAACGGAGGAAGGGGAATACGGCAGCAGTGACCTAGACAACTGGTGGGAAATGTATACCGATGGGGCAGCAAGTGCAAAAGGATGTGGGGGGTGCGGTCATTACTTCCCCCGAGGGATTCAAGGCTTATTACTCCATGGAGTTCAAGTTCAAGGTTACCAACAACGAGGCCGAGTATGAGGCTCTGATCGCAGGATTGAGATACGCGAGGGCCCTCGGAGCGGCTCGTCTGAAGGTACGGATGGATAGCCAGTTGGTGGTTACACAGATGAATGGTACTGCTGAGACTCGGGAAGAACGGATGAATGCCTACAGGGAACTGGCAGAGGAGCAGACTGCGCAGTTCGAGCAAGTGATCATAGACCTGGTACCTCGGGTAGAGAATGCCGAAGCTGATATCCTATCCAAGCTAGGCAATCCCCTGCCCGGGGAACAGACGCCGGCCGTCCCACAACATATCCGAAATTTTGCGAGGCAGGAGGCACTACTCCCACCGGCGACAGAAATGATCCAGGTAAATGTTGTTTCTTATGCAGATCCCAACTGGGTGAAGGAGGTGGCAGATTATCTCAAGGATGGGACCCTCCCCCTCGAGAAAGATGGACGCACCTCCGGAAGGGCCCCGTGGATAAAGAGACGGGCGGCTAGCTTTGAGATCATCGGGGGTGAACTGTATAAAAAGACGTTCGGTGGGCCATATCTCAGGTGCCTATCGCCGGACTTGGCAGCATCAGTCATGGAGGAAATCCATGAGGGCATCTGTTCCAGCCACCAAGGACCCCGAACGCTGGCAAGGAAGATCATCATACAGGGGTACTACTGGCCAACCATCCAGCGGGGCTGCTTCAACCACACCCAGAGGTGTGCGGTGTGCCAGCAGTACGCACCCATGCCGGGAAGACCGGCCAGCTTCTACACCCCGATGACCGTCGCCCTACCATTTGCAAGGTGGGGGATAGACCTGCTGGGACCCCTTCCCAGGACGACCGGCGGAAAGAAATTCATAATAGTGCCCATTGAAGAACATCACTGAGTTCCAATGCCAACGTTTCGTATGGCAGAACGTACTATGCCGGTTCGGCATCCCGGAACAGATCATTACAGACAACGGTCGGCAGTTCGTCGACAAGGGATTCGAGGCATATCTGGCCAAGTGGGGCATCCGGCATTCCAAGGCCTCAGTCGCGTACCCATAGGCAAACGGCGAGGTGGAGAACATGAACCGAACCATCATGGATGGCATAAAGAAAAAATTGGAAGATTACTCTTCAACCTGGCCGGAGCAGCTGAATTATGTCCTATGGACATACAGGACAACTCCAAGAACGGCGACCGGGGAAATACCGTTCGCACTAGCATACGGGTTTCAGGCCAAGGTCCCCACCGAGGTACTTGTGCCCACGCACTGGACTCTGCACTTTAACCCAGGACAAAACGAGGAAAATCTAAGGGCCGAATTGCACTTCATCGAGGAGAGAAGGGACCTAGCTGCACGGCGCATGGAGGAATATCATTGGGCAGCCGAGAGGTATTTCAACAAGGCGGTGAAGATCAGAGAAATCAGGGTTGGAGACCTGGTGTTACGGAAGCGGGAGAAGAGCAAGCCGCTTGAAGGAGGCAAGATGGCCAAAAATTGGGAAGGGCCGTACAGGGTATACGAGAAGAGATTGGCAGCAGGGACGTTCCTCTTACAAACTATGGAAGGACGTCCCGTTGGCATTTGGAATGTGGAGCACCTGAAGAAATTCTACCAGTAGGACCCCCCTAAAAAGGGGGGGGGGGAGACAGTAAGGAAGTATTCCGTTCATACAATGTAACATCAGGAATTAATGAAAACAAAGAGGCTTGGACATTAGCCCAAAAAGTCTCGTGGTTTTTCCCTTTCCGGGTTTTCACGATAAAATCATGGTGTACATCGTCATCACAAAAAACGCTGCGAGCCTCCCGGGGGAAGACAACATCCCCCGCCGGGCGGTACTAATCATCTGAACGGTATAACCACCATACCAAAGACCTCTCTAAAAAAGGGGGGGGGGGGGGGGGGGGGGGATAAACCCGCTCCGTGTCACAATCGCGGCCGAGCCCAGTTCAGGATCCACAGGACCGGGCCAAATGGGCAGGTAAGACGAACGGACGACGGAGCAAAGCCAAAGACCTCTCCAAAAAAATAGAGAGAGGCACCGGGGAATCCCCAAAGGGGATAAACCCGTTCCGCATCACAATCACGGCCGAGCCCAGCTCAGGATCCCAAGGACCGGGCCAAATGAGCAGGTAAGACGAACGGATGATGGGACGAAGACCGGGGAATCCCCAAAGGGGATAAACCCGCTCCGCGTCACAATCCCTACCTCCACTTTCCCTTTCATCACTCTTCATTTCGGGTAACATTTCTGTCTTCTAACCCAAAGAGAACCACATATGGCGGAGATGACGTTGAGATTAAACATGTTTTAGTTTGAATTCACCCCGAGAAGAAGCGAGAAAGAAAAAAGAGGGAGTAAGAGTTGTGAGTATTAAGCAGACGTTAGTTTGAATTCACCTCAATTTATTCTTATGGACACTATTGCTAGTTTAGATTATTTTTATTAACACTCCCAGTAAGGATTATTAGTGTAGAATCACTAAAAGTATAGATTATTCTTATGAATTTCACCTATAATTAAAAGTCCAAATGAGTTTAGCTTTAATTTATTGTTTGACTATATCAAATTAGAATTACTCTTTATGTGCACTATAATCCGTAAGGTTGAATCGATTGGAAATGTCAGTCTTACGAATAAAGATTAGTGATCACAAAAGTATAACAACCTAAGAGTACAGTAACCTGACTTCCTCTGAGCTATGGTTAACTCCACGCGATGTGCGGATGGGAGTGTTATTTGATAGGTAGTATTGCTCCATTATTTTTTAGTTAGAAGGATCAAAATTTCTCGTTTATCGATGCATGTCTTTCACCGTAATTATATCTTAATTCTATTAGTAAAGAAAATATTAAAAATCAGATTTTTTTTATCGTTATTAAAAATCAGATTTGAATATTTGTAATAAGATGAATTGAACAATATTTTTTTAAAAAATAAATTTCATAAAATAATAGCGTAAAATATAGTCAAAGTAGAACATCTGAATAATGTAAAATTCAAAATGTTGTGATTAAAATGGAACAGAGTATATCAAAGCATCTTAAAATTGTTTTTGCTTCTTAAGGAACCATAAACAGATATTAGAGTGTTTGGACAAGAGAGTAATTTTAGAAGTTAGAAGACTCCGACTTCCGAAAAACGTATTCATGTAACAAAAGAATAATCAGTTTGAAACACCCTTAATAAGTTAGGAGATTAAATGGTCGGCCGTACAAGCAACCAAAGCAAGGGCAGTTTGCGTCAAAGAGACAGCCCGATTGAGCGGAGCTGTGACGTTGTTTTCCCGGAAGAAAACAGCAAACACTGTTTTGACTATTGCCTCCGTACAATCACCTTCAAAAGACTCCGCGGTAATCACCCACGCCAGGACGGTTCTAATCTGAAACTGCAAGTCCCCCTTTGAAGTCATGTTCAGTTCCTGCAACTGACCCACCGACTGTTCTATCCTGTATATGGAGTCCCCCAGGTGGCCGGCGCACTGCGTGAGAGAATCTGTGATGACTTCCAGCAGCAGCTCCGGGACATTCTTGAAGCCGTTCTTATTAACGCGATCTATGAGCTTGGCGATTGTATCTTTAACGGCGCAGGTTTCATCCATGGCGAGATTTAAGGCCACCCCAATCAGTTCAAAGGCACCCTTTGTTCTGTTTCCGAAATGGATATTTGCGGCGTAGGGGGACAGCAACTCGTAGCATGTTTTGGGGTTCACGAATTGTGGTGCATTGCAGCATTGCTCGATGAACGCTTGGGGACTCTCGGCCGGCTCGGTGGCTGGCTGCGGCGCCAGTGCCGGCGGCCTTGAGATCACAACAGCAAGTATTGTGAAGAAGAAGATAATTACCAGGCGAAAAAATGTACTAGAGCTTTTCATGCTTAATGCTTAATGATGCAATGCAATGCGTTATTTCAGAGAGAGAAGATCTATCCTAGGATATGGGATGGAAGGATTGAGCTAACCGCCGGCTATTTAAGTGAATTGTTAGACCATCAACTTTTTGTTTTTGCTTTTCTTTATTTTTTCTTTTTTTTTTAAATGGAATGTTAGCTACTCTATGCGTCCTTAAAACTTTGTTAAATTTAACGTGATGATGATTAATAAAGTAAAAATTATACGGTTGAGGTTTGTGCAGAAGAGAGATTTTTTTAGGTAGATTCTATGGTAGCCTTAAGGTACCATACATTTGTCCACATGGACCAATAAAAATGATTTAGTTGAATTATTTAAATCTAAATTAAAAATGATGTAATGATTTGAACCAATCAAGTGAATGGTAGGCACGATATCCGGTTTTTTAAATGAGTATCGGAGTTGTCACCTTTTTTTAACCCCGGAAGGTCAACCACCAAAATCAGTGGGATAGATGATGGGGAATATTTACCCGATTTTATTAAATAATCAAAGCATTTTACACATGGAGGGCAAAAGCCTTAACCACTACAACAAGAGAAGCTCAAAAAGAGAAAATATTAGAAAACATAAGGTAAGTCTGAAGCATCTAACAATATGGAACCCCTCAACTGTTTTGGGATAAAATTCCCTACCTGCCACTTGAATCCGCCCTCCAGGCCCAATTTAGCCACCAGTTTTGCCGAATGGTTTACCTGGGCCGGGACTACCTTCAGTCCACAGTCACAGCCCATCTCCCTCCTTCTAGAAAAATCGGCCTTAACCTCCACTTTAGGAAACTGAAGAGCCACCGCCCAAATAATCGCTCAATCCAACACTTCATCTTCAAAATCCCCTGAGCCACTCATCGGAAATCCTTCTGCAGCCACCACATCTCCCGCATGATCTCGAAGCAGAAATCCAGCCGTTGACTTACCATTCCCAAGGTGTATAGCGACGTTCAGCTTCGTTGTACCTTCCGCCGGCTTTTTCCATTTTCCAATTTGAGGCTTCCTCCTCCAAAACGAACTAGGTCAGAACCCCAAACTCTTAAATCTTTCATTTCCTTGCAACTTAGAGTTAGCGCGACACCATTCTAACATAAATTTTCTAATTTGATGAATCAAACTCTCAACCCGTTGCTCTGTATCATTATTAACCAAGTCCCAGTAAGCTTTCCAAATGTGCCACACTATTACCCCTGGTAAGACCATCTGAAAAATTGCATCCATAGATTTCCCTGATCCACCACCTCATAAGTTCTAATTTGGTGCTACTTGTCTTTTGAGCTGCTATAAAAAAGGAGTGCGTGAAGACATCCCACACTGATCGAGGCCAACTGCAGGCTAAGAGAAGATGGACCTAGCTTATACCTGAGGTTCTACAGAACGGACACATCGTTGGGAACACAGTTGAAAAAGCTGCCATTTGCTCTGGGAACGGAAGACAATCCTTCAACAACCTCCAGAGAAATACTCTAATCTTTCGCACCTGTTTTGGGTGCCAGATTTGAATAATTGAAAGAGTCCTTCCTACTTGAGGCCAAAGAGCTTCATAAGCTGTCTTTGATGTAAATTTTCCTTCTTTTGTAAATTGCCAAGTGATAGAATTAGGTCCCCTAGTTACCATTTGCTCTGCCTCGTCATTAATGAGGCATATCATTCTCCAAGTTGGAGAATCCGTAGGTTTAACCTCCCCCAAACTGCGATTACCATATTTGCTTTGCATCAATGCAGTCCATAAGGGCTGCCCTTGCTGATATTCCCACCATAATTTGATAGCTGAGACCTTCTGAATATCAGCTAACGACCTAAATCCCAGACCTCCATTTTGAACTAGCTTGCAAAGCTTGCTAAACCTATCCCAATGATGCTTTGGTTTCTTGTCCTTATACCCCCAGAAAAAGTTAGCAAACTTCTTATTGATTATAGTGATCACTGCACTAGGAATAGAAGTAGTTGCTAACACATGAATAGGTATATAGTTTAGGACATGTTTGTGATGGAGTATATGGGTCCAGGCCCCAGGACCCACATACTCAGAAGAACAGAAAGCACAAGCCACTACACAATGCCCTCGTCGGCCACAGGCCCCTCGTCGACCGAAGAGAGACCAACTCAGAATATGATCCTAAAGCCAGGGAACCATGGTGTCCTCGTCGGCCGTGCCCTCATCGGTCGTGCCCTCATCGGCCAGGCCCTCGTCGGCCACGGAAGTCCCGCAGAACTAGATTTTACACTTATTCATTTATATAGCCCATCATTTACTTTGTATTCGGCCCAATAGCGGTCCAGTTGTAAATGGGCCTCCCAAACCCAAGGCTTGGGAGCCCAACCCGTATTTTTCCTATAAATACTTCCTCTAGAGGTATTTATAGGGGTTACAAAATCATTCTATTGAAGCATTTACTTGCACTTCTCTCTCTAGCTCTCACTTCTCTCTAGAATATACTCTATCATTTGGTGCTCTCGTTGAGAGCTAGAACAATCAAGTTAGCACCCTTCGTCGCTACCAAGCACAGCTAACCACTGATCATGGGAAGAACTAAGTAAAACCGCAACCTCGTCAGCAAGGCCATCCCTGAGGACCAGGAGACCGGGGAGCGTGAGGAGGACGCCACGGCCGACCAGGTCGGCGGAGGGGACGTCTTCCAGGAGGCCATCAACCTCACGACGGAACTCCGCAGCCAACTCAACGGCGGAGCCCCTGATGCCCACATCGGCCTGGACAAGAAACGCGCAGAGAAGACAGACCACGCCCCGGCCCAGCCTATGGCCGCGGCTTCCCCGTCTGTTGATCCACAGGTCGAGGCCGCATTGTCAGTCATCATCGCCAGCTTGGCCCAAAACCCCACCGTCCTCAGCGCACTCTTGCCAAGGACTGAGGGAACGTCACCCCACCTCCTCAGCCCCAACCGTTGGCCACCAGGTTAGGCAACAATGAGGGCGTGATAGCCCAGGACACGGCGTCGTCCCAATCCCACCCCGCTTCCCCTCTTCGGCCTGGGCATACCCCAGCGCGTGGAAAAGCCTTCGCCTTCAATAGGCTAGGTGACCCGCGTCGTCGTCCGGTTTCGGAGAGGATGGAAGGGCGGATTGGTGAGCGCCGGCCTGGCTCGCCAAGGGAAAGCTTGGAGTCTGTGTCCCGGACAGCGGACCAGCCCCGCCTGGACAAGGGCAAGGGAATGTTGCACGAGGACGACGTGCGCCACGAGATCAATGCGGCCCACGACGAGCGCATGAAGAACCAGCAGGGCGCCGCTGCGGCCGCCAGGGATCCCCAGGACGAGGTCATCGCCTAGCTGGAAAGGAGGCTGGCCCAGATGGAGGCCAGGCAATCGGCAAACATCCCCACGGCCGGCGCCTCCAACGATCCTGGCCTCAACGCTCTCATGAACAAGGTCAGCGCCATTGAGAGGGAGTTGGCCGAAGGGCGAGATGACCCCGTCATCCAGGTCAGGGCCAGGACCTCTTTCACTAACAGGGTGCTCTCGACCCCCATCCCGGAGAAGTACAGGGGAAACGCCATCAAGTCCTACGATGGCCGATCAGACCCGCAGGAGCATTTCAGCCGCTATCAGAACAACATGTTGATGGTGAACGCGTCGGATGAATATCTCTGTCGTTGGTTCCTCTCCACTCTTGAGGGGCCGGCGTACGAGTGGTTCAACGCGCTTCCCGAAGGAAGTATTGACTCATGGCAGGACCTTGCCCAGCGCTTCCTCGCCCACTATGCCGGGAGGAAGCGCGCGAAGAAGTATTTCACCCATCTCCTCTCCGTCAAGCAGCAACATGACGAACCCCTCCGGTCATTCATCGATCGGTGGACGAGGGAGACCGAAGAGGTCGAGGGGGCCGATGAGCGCACCCTCCTCGTCCTATACCAGGGTTCCCTCCGCAGCTCCCTGTATGCCAGGAGCCTCATCACCGACCCTCCGAGGTCGTATGCAAAGGCGCTTCAGCGCGGGAGCTTGTACGCCGACGAGCTCCACAACCACAAAAAAAAAAGACGGAGGCCAACCCTCCAAGAAGACAAATCCTTCACCGGACCCGGGAGCATCCCCGGCCGGTCAGGGTGCCCAGGGCCGTCACGGCTCTGGTGGACAAAGCAAGAAAGACCGCCACTGGCGGCCGAGGTTGGAACGCCCGGGGTCCCCCTCACCCACCCGGTCAGCACCATCCTTGACTATGCCGAGAAGCATGGCCTCATTGAGCAAGCTCCTCGGCCGGCCGAGGAGGTCCTTGCCATCCAGCAAGGCGGCACATACTGCCGATTTCACAAAAACTCCTCACAGAACACCGACGACTGCATCACGCTGAAGAAAGCCATCGAGCGCCTTATTCGTCAGGGGGAACTCTCCCAATTTGTTAAAGGTGGCCCGCACAAAAATACGTGGGTAAAACACCGGAAAACCTGGGGGCGAACCCTCTACGAAGAAGAGGGAGATCGGTAGGCTCAGCGACGACGAGGATTTTGAAGAGCCTCTGCCAAAGAAGAACCATATTCACCTCATCGTAGGTGGGAATACCGGGGGGGACTCCGTCACCCAGAGGAAGAAATGGGCCCAATCCCTTTACATTGGGGAGGTGTCCCACGTCCCCCCAGCCGAAGAAGAAGCAAACGGAGGCGATCACCTTCACCGACAAGGATCTTCCTCCGGGTACGGAATCACACAGGGACGCCCTCGTCATCCGGTGTGAGATCGGTGACTCCATCATCCACCGCACTTACATCGATATGGGGAGCTCCGTCAACGTGATGTACCTGGACACCTTCAAGCAGCTGAAGCTGGACAAAGCTCTGCTGAAGCCGATCAAGACACCGTTGTCCGGCTTCACCGGGGACTCTATCGACGCCGAGGGCACAATAGTCTTCCCCGTGGAGGTTGGCGACGGCTCCCATCGTGCCAAGATTGACATGGAGTTCATGGTGGTCAACCTCCAGTGCGCCCACAACCTGATCTTGGGGCGGCCAGCACTGGAGGACTTGGAGGCCATCATCTCCATGAAACACTTGTGCCTGAAGTTCCCCACCAACGGCGGCATCGGCTACGC